CTCTTCTCCTCCTCTTTCGGCTCCCCCCACCAGTCTCCGCTCCTCCTCATCATCTTGAGCGCGCATTGCGACTCAAGGCAGATCTCACTCCGCAGCATCGTTCATCTGATTGTGATCGTCACGGGTCGCCTGCTCTGATAGGTTGCCGGCCTTTGCCTTGCGGTCGTCGTCGGCAATCATAGTATCTGACATTTGTGGTCACATTCTCTGTGAATACGCGCGTGGGCACCAAGCTTAAATGAGAGCCCAACTTCGAACATCAAACGCCCGAGCCGTGGACATCATGCATTGCAGACGTTTCGAGGGCTTCCCCTGGGTCCCACTGCGCTGCGCGCGAACCGCCAGGCCGCTGCCTCCAGGGAGGGGTCGGGCGGATTCGCCGGGAGGAGTTAGGAATGCGCGGGGGCGGCGGCAAGACCGCCGACAGGGGTTAGGAATGAGAAAGTAGTCTTGCTGCGTTTTGCATTCGGCCGCAGCGCGGCAGGGCTAAGCTCAAGAGCTCGTCTCGCTTGGCACTTTGTCCTCCTCCTCCCCCTCCTCCCCCTGCCCTCCTCCTCCCTCATCCCCCCCCCCTCCTCCCCCCTCCTCTTCTCCTCCTCTTTCGGCTCCCCCCACCAGTCTCCGCTCCTCCTCCTCATCATCTTGGGCGCGCATTGCGACTCGAGGCAGGTCTCACCCCGCAGCATCGTTCATCTGATTGTGATCGTCACGGGTCGCCTGCTCTGATCGGTTGCCGGCCTTTGCCTTGCGGTCGTCGTCGGCAATCATAGCATCTGACAGTTGGGGTCACATTCTCTGTGAATACGCGCGTGGGCACCAAGCTTAAATAAGAGCCCAACTTCGAACATCAAACACCCGAGCCGTGGACATCATGCACTGCAGACGTTTCGAGGGCTTCCCCTAGGACCCACTGCGCTGCGCGCGAACCGCCAGGCTGCTGCCTCCAGGGAGGGGGCGGGCGGACTCGCCGGGAGGAGTTAGGAATGCGCAGGGGCGGCGGCAAGACCGCCGACAGGGGTTAGGAATGAGAAAGTAGTCTTGCTGCGTTTTGCACTCGGCCGCAGCGCGGCAGGGCTAAGCTCAAGAGCTCGTCTCGCTTGGCACTGTGTCCTCCTCCTCCCCCTCCTCCCCCTCCTCCCCCTCCCCTCCTCTTCCCTCCTCCCCCCCCTCCTCCCCGCTCCTTTTCTCCTCCTCTTTCGGCTCCCCCCACCAGTCTCCGCTCCCCCTCGCCATCTTGGGCGCGCATTGCGACTCGAGGCAGATCTTACTCCGCAGCATCGTTCATCCGATTGTTATCGTCACGGGTCGCCTGCTCTGATAGGTTGCCGGCCTTTGCCTTGCGGTCGTCGTCGGCAATCATAGCATCTGACAGTTGGGTCACATTCTCTGTGAATGCGCGCGGCAGGACCTCAAACGGCGGCGGGGGATCTTGTTTGAATCCTGTTCGAATTTCAGCGACCGATACAAGCGCCGCCAACGCCTCCTCGGGATCGGGCGGACCGCGTCGGGCGGAACCTCCGCGGGAAGAGGCACCCCGAGCGCCTTTGGAAGATGTCCGAAGCCAATTTCGCGAGCCAGAATGACTGCAACAAGGAAGGGCTTGGAGGAGTTGGAGGCCTGGACGTGTGGAACAAAATCGCGCGGGCACTGTTTTGTGCGTTTGGATGCGCGGAATGAACTGATGGAGGTTTGGACGTTCGGATGGTCTGGTGTTTGGCGCGAATAGTTGGGGGGGGGGGGGGGGCGGGCGTCACTGCCCAGAGCTGGCCCCAGACCAGCGCCTAACTTGAATGTCCAATGCTGGCCCATACCACTGCCCAACGGCAATGTCCAACGCGTTGCCAAGACCCGTGTACAATTCGTGCTGCGTGGTTGTTTATGGTGTGGTGGTTGATAAGGCACCATGTCGTTGGCGCAGTGCCCTATGATTTGTGCATTGTGCGGCTGACCATTGTCGCCCTATGAATTCAAATGCTGGCCATCTTGGGCCTTTTCTGGCCATCTCTCGAAGCCCCCGCGCGCCGTTGCGCTGCCTTCTTGGGGGTTTCGGCAACGACGCAGGGAGCTCAAAGCAAAAGGCCACCGTGTCTGAAGTTCCCTGGCCCCTTCGGGGCCCTCTCGGGGCCAGTCGACCGCCAGTCGACAGCCAGCGGGCCGCCAGTCTACGACTGGCGGTCGACTGGCGGTCGATTGTCGGTTTGTTGGCATTCGATTGCCAGTTGCAGTATCTGTGCCACGCAACATGGATCACCATACCCTGCACTGCATCATACGCACATGCCATGGACACATACAGCACAGAACGTACATGAATAGCATCGGCCGTACATCCGATCCCCAGCCAATGCCCAAGAACGACCGAGAACACCGAAGCACTCCGCTTCCCATCTAGCAGGACTCAGGCGCACGCACGCATCCTGGCAACCTGACTGGAAGCCCAGCAGGCCCCTCCCCCATAATAGCTTTCAAGCGCACCCTTTATGGAGCCCAGCGGCCCGCTCCCCAGAGGGCCGTCGACAAGAACGTCACGTGGTAAGGTTGCGCAAAGTACTGTTGATGTTGGCATGTTGCCATTGTATTGAAACGCTTTGAAACGACGCCCCCCCTTATCCGCAACCCCTCATCCGCATCACCACCCCGCCCCCTCTGTCCACCCGCTCCCCGCTGCCCCATTTGCTGCTCGCCCCGTCCCCCGCCCATTTCCCTTGTCTGCTTACCAGGCGCGCCATCAGCGAGGCTGAAACTAAAAGGAGTCAGCGAAGCTGAATTGATTCAGAAGGCAAAACCAGCGAAGCTGCGCATGATGATACACGATGTGCGTTGCTCCTTTTTAAGCCAGCCCTACGGCACCGCGCGCGGCTCATCGGGCTCATTTGACCGATTTGGCCTCTCCTTCGAGAGAATGAGGGCCCCGCTTGGGAGGCCTAGCAATGCTTCTCTGGCGTCGTTCCTTTCTCTCCACGCGCACTCGAAGTCAGCCTTGCGCGCGCGATTATCAGTGCAATCACCCCTGGCACCAGCCAACAACCACGCAGCTAAGAAACAGCGGGGGCGGCCTTGGGCAGGGCGCTCGATATTAGCGAAAGACGTCTTGGACCTCCTGCATTGGCCTGCCCTGCCGCGCCCCTCGGCACGACAATGCGACTCGGCGTGCACCAAGTCAGCGTGCCAGACCCGACGTGAACAATGACAGAACTCGGCCCGGGCGGCTCGCCGCGAGGGGGCGGCGGCGCCGCAGCTGGCGCACCAGAACTCGATGATGCCCCCGGCCGAAGTACAGCTCCAGCAGGAATAACTGCATCAGGACCATGGTCGGGTTCAGGCTCAGCGGGAGCGAGGGAGTCTTGAACGAGAATTCCGTCGATAGTGTTGCCGACGGAGTTGGCATCGCTACCTCCACCAGGCTCGCACTCAGCGAAATTCACCAGGTCCACGGGGAAGTCTTGACCATCGCAGCCAGGCGGCTGGCCGCTGTCACTTCCAGGGCAGTGCACGCCACCATCTGCAAACAAGTCGTCTTGACCAGCCTCGTCGCACGGGCCCTCATCACCACCCTTGTCCTGCATGGCCTCTTCTCCGTGTAGTGCTGCAGCGCACGCTCGCGCCGAGGATCTCGGCAAAACTGGTCAGCATGGATCTGGGAGCCCAGAAATTAGGAAAGGACGGGCGCTGGGGGGAGCAGCAGGGGGTGCAAGATGACAGGGATTCAATCCGAGGCGAAAGGACTGCTGCGGGGATGGTTCGAGAGCGAACTTGGGCCCGACAGGGCCGTGAGGCTGCAGCCAGGAGCGACCTTAGGAATTGGGAGGGACGTGTCACGACAATCAAAATTCGGAGAAGAACTTGAACGACGGCGGCCACCTGCTCGAGCGACGCAGCCAGTCTGTGGCACGCAGGTTCAATCGGCATCGGTACAGGTGGCCAACATGATCCTCGATCTGGGCATCGCCGTGGACGTCCAAATCCTCCAATTGCATTACAGGGGGTGGCGCAGCAGGTTGCGGGCTGACTACCTGCATAATATGCTTACACACACGGTGCCAAAGTTCACGGAGTCTCAAATTCACGTCCATGCCGGGGCCGCGGACGTCCTTCTGCGCGGACTCAGGCGCATGTTGAGGTGCTTCGGCCGTAACGATTTGCGCGTTTACCTGGGCCGCGTCACCGTCGTCGCTGGGGTCAACCGCGGCCCAGGCCGATTCATCAATATCATCATCTGGCTCGTTTCCCCAAGAGTCTGATCCAGAAGCAGGGCCAACACATGCACCGACGGAAGAGTCAGCTCAAGATGCAAGGTCTGATTCAGCATTATCCAAACCATTCATGGTTTGCCTCCACGTGAAAGTGGGGCAAAATGATCCACGTTGAACGGAATATGAGTTGGAGTCAAAGGGTTACGGAAAACGAAGTTCGAACATTCCCAGAAGTGTCGCACACCTGAAATGAACTAGTCAAGCTTTGGATGTGACCGATCACACGCAAGCAGCATGGCACGCACCAGTCTGACATGATTTTGCCTCTTCAGATTCCCACCCCCCTCCTCCACCCCCCTCCTCCTTCTCCTGTTCACATAAATTACACACCACATAGCTAGCACCGCCCACATAGATTGCACCACGTGGCTGTGCCACAGAATTTGCACCACGCATCTTACACCATATTGTTCGCACGACTTGGTTATGGATTTCTGTTATGCCGAAGCGTTGCGCATGACCGACGAAATGGAATGCATTCGGGGGGTATGTGTGCGGTTATCCTATTTTGGCGTTGCATACGCGCAAGTACCCGCGCAGTTATACACGCTCCCATTGGCTCGTTTGCATGTACTTGTGTTTGTACCGCCGATCATAATATGTTGCACCTATTCCGCGAGCATTTTCCCAAAAGCCAACTTGGAAGGGTCCTCCAAGGGCATGCATCTCATCAGAATGCGACTCGATCTGAAGGTCGGCTTCCGTCCTCAACTGCCAGGGTCAGGGTGTGGGGTGGGGCGGCGCGAGGCGGCGGAGCCGGCGGAGCCGGCGGAGCCGGCGGAGCCGCGGACGCGGCGTTGGCGGCCTGCACGCTGGTCCGCCGCAGCTGCCGGGCCGCCTTTCTGCGCCGGAAGCGCGCGATGACCGCGCCGGACGTGCTGGAGGATACAGCCAGCCAGCTGCCCTCCCGTCAGACACACGCGGCTCAAAACCCACAACCCGCTGCAGAGTGTTACCCGAGGGGATCGAAGCAGACATGGCTGGCCTCCCGTTCGGCCGCGTGGCCTCAGGATAATGTTGAGTCTTAGGCCACTTCGGGAGTTCCCGATGCATCTATCACCCTTCTTAATATGAAGAATGCCAAATGGAGCCCGCATCAGGTAGTAGTATTCCGCCCAATACCTCCTGACAGAAAGTTTCTGATCGCACTCCAGGGCGATCTCAGAAACGTTGCCATACCATCAAACAGTGGCGATTTCGCTCAGGACCTCTTCGCACAGAAAGTATGACTGCTGTTCCTCCTGCCTGAGATTCGCGCTTGCTCTTATGACTTCCTCAGACAAGATTCCCAGTCTTTCTCCATGCCGCCCTCATATGCCGATCACAGCTTTTTGGTCTGGGGGGGGGCCCAGCAAAACACTTTTTTGCGTCAGCGGCGAGGCGGCGAACTCCGCTCCAGCGAGAAGCTAGACAGGGCCACTATTTAGCGAATTGGCCGGCGGGCAAAGAGGGGGGGGGACGGCCGAGAGGAAGAAGGGACCCTCAGACGTCGAAGAGTTCGACAATGAGCAGCCGGGGGGCAGGGGGCAGCAAAGCACCCTAATAGCAGCAAAGATGAAGAGGTGAGACAGGGGTGTGAGCACGGCCATGCGCACCTCGTACACACGTTACCAGGAATCGTGGCCTTCCGGGCCAAACATGTAGCCGGCACCGAGGCGATAGCACGATTCCTGAAGACGTCGTGAGGAAGTCTCAGGCGAAACGGCTGCAGCACCGGACGTCGTCGGGCTCCCGGTCCTCCCTGTGGGACTCTTCCGATGTCTTTTCCACCACCACTAACCAACCCGTTGGCGGAACGTTGTTTTGGGACGTTCTCGGTCTCTGGAGGCCGCTTCCCGGCCCTGGGATCGTCTCTTGTGATGCCGGCTTTGGACAAGTGTGCGAGATCCCCGGGTGGGGCAGGTCACGAAAAAGTGCGGAGGTCTATCGATGATTCGAGCATCGAGAATTTTGATGTTTGGAAGTTTGGGCCTTCTTTGGGCCTCCTGGGGCGCCCTCGTCGGCATGGCCGGAGTGCGTTCGAGATTCTGGTCGCAAGGCAAATCTTGGACGGGTTCATGCAGGGCTCGATGCTTGAACCTAGACCTCCGACGTCTTGAGAAATTAAAGGCGGCGTTCTGTTCCGCTAGTTTGTTCAAGGGTGCTGATGCTTTTGGGGCCTCTTGGGGCGCCTTCGCCACCGTCACCAGACCGAGGACAGGTCTGAATGCCGATTTTGATCGGGGAAGGCCACAGCCTCCAGCGACGCGGGCACAACAAAAATGTCATGAGCGTTTTTGTTCGGGCCGCCTCTCCAGGACCGTCACACAGTGATCCCTGGGATGACAAGCTCGTCCCTTGAGACGGGTCGGGAGGCCTGGGGCTCAGGCGATGAAAAAGGCAGATCCCTGGAGGTCTGGAGAGCCCCCCATGCCGCCATCTTTCTGGAGAGAGGACGGAGAACACCAGAGGGGAGAGCTGGAGGTGGAGGAGAAAGTAGAGTCGCGCGCGAGAACCCTGAAAGCCAGTCCCCAAACTGCCCGCCCACGCGTCCCTCACATCTGGGCGCCAGGCGAAGAAGATCACGACGGCCGTTATTGTTCCCAGTTGCTGACAGACCCCTTGACATAGCATAACGTGTGGCCAACTCTGAAAACCTTGAGCCCATTGGCGCTGACCTGTCTTTGGGGCATGAGCATACTTCCGCCGGCCGGAGAGGCCCACAGTGCTCTGCTTCCGCGGGCTGTCCGCACCGCTTCTGCCGAGAGCGACATGCCAGCCCCTCGATGCCTGGAGGATGAGGCCAATGCTGTGGGGCCCAGCGCGTATCGCAGCAAGACTAGCCACACTGCAGGGGGTAACGCACGCGTGCACGTTCGCAGGATTGTCGCTTATCTCGACCGTCCCTGTATCCAAGCGGCTTCGGGCGCCAGTAACCTCACAGATCGATCCCGCTCGGCAGGGTCACGCGCACAGACGGGGTGCATAGTTCAGGTCGGGCCTCTCACCACGACGCCGCGATCTGTCATGTCGTCGGAAGCTGGGGCTGTGTGTCCTCTTGCGTGCTTCTTTGCTTTTTGCTCGCTGCAGGGCGCGCTTGTCGACGTGACCCCGGGCGCATCGCAAGACTGGTCCTGACGGTGCTCATCATGAGACGAAGGGCCGACCGGATGCGACATCGGGCGGTTAACCATTCTTGCGCGAGCACACCACAATTGTTCTAACACCGCTTGCCGATCCACCATCGAGTGGCCGTCGGTCGAGGAACAAAGAACGAGGTGGCCCAGTGCCGATCCAAGAAATTCGCGTGGATGTCCGAAAGTGTATGTATATGTTCGTGTTGCCCCTCGTTTCCGTCCATCCCGCCACCGTGCTTGGGTTGTGGAAAGGATATTTCTTAGAAGCCTCTTGGGTACCGTCGGGAGGCATCTTGGGGGCCTCTTGGAAGTCTCTTTGGGGCATACCGACGGCCTCTTAAGGCCTTTTGGGGCCTCCAGCAGCCCTTTTGGGGCCTTCTGGCCGGCTCGGGGGCCACCCTGGAGTAAAGGCCCTGACGTGTGAGTTCGTGTTCCCCCCTTTTGGGGCCGTATTGGCGGCCTCGCAGGCCTTTTTCGGGACCTCGGGGGCCGTTTGGGGGCGATATCGGGGACCTCTTGGGCAGTCTTGTCGCTTTTCAGACCGCGAAAGGCGAGTATATCAAACTTCTGGAACAAAACACATGTTTTCAATGATTTAACATATTGGGCCTGCTCCAATGTCCTCCAAGACATCCGACGAGGCCTGCAAAACATTCCGGCCAGGGTTTCGAGTTGAGCCCAGCAGCCGTCGACGAGCTCCCCCATCCACGAGGCCCAACACATAAATGAATCACCATCAAGACATGCCCCCCCTCCCCCATCCCCTCTATATGCACTCCCTTCCTGAATGAGTTTCGTTGGGGAGGAGATCGGCGATGTCTTCGAGGAACTGTGCCCCACGCCCTTGGACCTGTGACCGCCAGTATGATGGCCGCGTCTCTGGCGAGGACATGGCGCGATATTGGCTTGGCGCGATAGTGTTCAGCTTTTGTTCCACTTCCATGTCCCGCGCCCTTGCTCCTGTGTTCTGTCCTCGTGATCCTGATCCTTTCCATCTTCCTGTTCCTCGTGACGCGCAGTAGAGTGCCGACGAGTGCGGAGACTGGAAAATCTTGAGCGCAGGCCCAGTGTGGCTTATTCTTCTCTCCCCCTCCTTCTCTGTCAGGAAAGAATGTTGAGCGGAAGATGGACTGCGGAAGGGGCGAGGAGGAGGGAAGAAGGAATCGAACGGAGTTAAAGCAGGAGGAGGAGGAGGACAGACGGACACGGCAGCATTGCAGCCCCGAAGGGCGGTCCTTTCAGACGGCAAGCGCATGGGAAACGCAGTCTTTCACATTGGAAAGAGTGTGGTGGTCCCTGCGTTAACCTGATCAGAGAGGAGGGAAACAGAAAACACATGCAGGTGCATTACACAAGGCTCCACACATCCACTGTGTCACAACCCCCTTCTCTAACTCATTCTGCATGTCATGCTGCATCGCAATTTTTTGACACGACATGTCGGTACCCTGCTTGCTGATGTATTCCTGGACGTCGTTATCTTGACGTCTCTTTGGACTGCCTGTGGAGCGACGAGTTGTGAGAGGCGCCAATGTCGGATCTCAAGACATGGCTTGCGGAGCCCAGCGGTTGGTGTCCATGTCTGCCACACGATAAGCTCATCGCCGTTTCCGTTTCCTCTGCCATCAGGAGGGGGAGGAAAGCACATAGGACAGCTGAAAGACATGGTTCAATTCTCATTAACACGTACGAGCACCGCTTTTTAGAAATAACTCCCCCCGTCGCGCCACCAGACGTGTAGGTTTTGTGGGCTCGGAATTGTGCTTGCCATTCCCCTACCCTTCATAATATTGAAACTCGTAGTGCCCAAGAGCCTCACCGATAGAGGAAGGATCGTTTTCAAAATGTGGTTGCCGTTGTAGCGCCGTACAAACATTTTTTACACATGTCCAATTGCGGTGAAGGTGGGCGGCGGGTAATTTCCCAGACCCCCCCTTTTAGCGCTACGCACATTTGTGCCAAAAGCTTCCATCCGCTACAGAGACAGATGGCAGGGCGATTTAAAAATGTCTCCTCGCCCCCAACGCCGGGCACATTCGTTCAAACATACGAAGATCAAACGTATTACAAGGATGAAAGGTGGGCCGTTTTCAAAATGCTGCTCTCGCTTTCGTACTACGCAGCTAACAGGATGGAGGGCAGTTGTTTCAAAAGTGAGGTCTTCGATTAGAGCTTCAAGCGCTGTGACCAGGCGTGCATCTGTTGTACAGCATTGCACAGATGGATTGGGGCTTCTCCTCATTAAGGGTAAGGGTTATCGTCTAAGTGTGTTTGAAAATGCCGTGGCGCGTGGTATGAGCAACAATTCCCGATGCGGAGAACGTGCCCCAAGTGTGGGGTGGAGAGCTCTCCGGTGCCACGTCGTAAGTCATAGAAATTGCGTTGGAGGTATGCGAGATCGGCAAAACTGAAGGACGAGTTGTTTGAGGCAAAGAGGTGGAAGAGGGGCGACGGACCCCTTGCGGGTTCGGGTTATGATTGCGTTGAAGCCTTGCGAGTTTGTCACATTGCTCGAGCTCTCCCGCCCGCTCGTGTTTGTGAGCTCGTACAGAAGAAACGTATGCTGATGCCCCACGTGCTTTTTCTCCCCCCAAAGATTTTTCAATATCCACATAAGCGTGGGTGCGCGATAATGAGGATACGGTTGGACGACGGAAGTCTCCCCGGTTGCTTGCACCATGCGGTTGTCAGGTATGTGTCAGCCTCTTTTCCTCCTTCGCCACCGTCCCACCTCCCTTGTGTGCTGCTGCCGTAGCTCTCGAGGGCCCTTGAGCCACATTGAGCGCAGGCGACGGGCGCGCCCTGGCTCCCGTAAAAAGAAAGAGAACGTGCTCTCTTACAGCACGGGACCCATATTTTTTCTTCGTGTCTCCTTTTTTTCCATACGGCTACTCCCGTACAGTCCACAGTGGCAGCGGAGCCCGTGGTTCCGATCCACGAGGGGAGTCAGGCCGACCCCCATGTCATTCGACTCCCGAATGACACATTCAGTGTTATTATCCTGTTCTTCCCGCTTCCCACCATCTTGCGCCGAGCGCCGCCATGGACCGCCCAGACGAAGTTCAGCCTCGCGAAGACGAGCTTCCAGACGATCCTTGGTTACAACCACGACAGGATCCTTGAGCAGGAGGCGGAGGACGAGAAGACGTTCCGTGGGACGGTGATGACGAAGTGGGTTGGTCAGATCAAGAGTGGACTCGCTGGTTCTTACAGCCCTGGACGGAGACACGGCCCAATACGCAGTCTTCCCCATCAAGTTGAAACGCGCGGGGCCGTGGTTCGTCGGCTGCACCAGCTCGGTTGAATATGCCTTTGCGGGGACAGGGTACGCCGTTCACTCCGACTTGTCGAGGAGATGCCATTGCTGGATCTTTTGGTCGGTTTCTGAACAATCGGAGACCCCAAACATGCCAAATGACCTGCCTCCCACCTGGGATGGGACAGAGACGGATATTCGTTTAGATCCTAACATGGAGGAATTGCAGATGTAGCTCATGACGACCAGAAACCTGAAGGGACAACATGGGTACCTGATTAACATTTACGCCAGAGACGACCTCAATATTATTATCAAAGAACCCACCGAAGACGAACTGCCCTCGGAGGACAGCGGGCAGGTTGTGGCAAAACCTATTAAGAAGGCTTTCGCCGAAAACCAAGACCGCACTATTCCGAACGCTTTTGAACAGCTCTTCTCTTCTGACGACGCCAAGCGTGAGCGAGACGAACCCCTGGTCAATTATATTTCTTGAAAGTGCGTATTTTCCGATAACTCGAGAAGCGCGTGGCCCTACCGGAGGAACTGAAAGGGCACATGATTCTCAGAGAATCCATGTTCAGTGAAGCCGCTTGGGATACGGTTGAACACTGGACCGAGGGGGCAGATGATTTTGACATGGCGTGCGAGAAGCTTCGGAAGCCTGAACCACCCGTTGCCCTCAGGTAGAGGCGGCCATCGTATCATGGAATGAGTTCCGGCTCGCACTTCGTCGGATACCAAGGAGACGAAGACGGATATGATGACCAGGAGTGTGATCATGATGATTTCCATTTGATTATCATGGGCCAGTATTTGTTTACCTTGCCCGAGTCCTACGAGGGAGAAAACGTCCTGACTGAGGCTCTCAGGTACATGGAGGTACATGGACGACGAAGACGCATTGGTCGTTGCTGGAAACACGCCCGAGGATATGATTGCGGTTGGACGAAGACGGGGCCACTGCCATCTACGCCGACAACAGCCAGGCACGACAACACGTGCACAAGCGGAAGCTCGGACGAGGCTTTTCAAAACAGCCTCTTGGCCGAAGCGTTGGGCCAAGAGTAAATTGATGAGTCGCGCAAAGTGCGCCCGACTCGGGAAGACGGGCCGCTGGGCTCGGGGCTGCGCGAGCGGGCCAGACGAGCGAGGGCGCAAACGGCAAGCAGGTTTCGGCGGTTTCCAGGTTGTCCTCCTCGAAGCGCACGACGCTTTGCACGGCGTGCGTCAACGGGAACCTACGGCCCAGTTTGGTGTCTGTCCTTCGACTTTTCCCATCTTTGATACTGCTGACACTAGCGAACAGACTTTCATTGGACTTCAGGTCCAGATGGGTTTCGGCCCAGTAGACACTGGAGCTCGGCATGGAGTCCACGGCAAAAAATAGTTTGAACATGGTGAGATATCTGGGAGATGCCTATGGTTTGAAGCCAGCGCAGATACCCACACTCGGCATGGTCGCCATGGGGGTCGGAGGATATGGCAAGTGTCTCTCTAGCTGGGCGTGGCCGGTCGTCGCGGCGAAGAATTGCGGCAGTGCCATGGTGTGTATGATGGCTTCCGATGCGCCCTTGATGTTTGGTTGTCATGTCTGTGTCAGCTTCTCCTCCTCCTCCTTCACCTCCGTCCCACCTCCTTTGTGCGCCGCCGCTATGGCTCTCAAGGGCCCTTTTCACCTGGCGCGCAGGCGACGAGCGCGCCGCGGCCTCCGTAAAAGAAAAGAGAATATGCTTTATTATAGCACGCGTCCCCCTACTTGTATTCCGTGCCTCCCTGTATTCCATACAGTTACTCCCGTACATTCCACACGCTACTGTGTAATGATTACAACCAGACAGCACCCCAATCAATGGATGGTTCGAAAACTCGTGATTTGGATTTTGAAGCCGGTTGTGGAATCGACAGTGAGTCGGTAGTGGGATCTATAGCGAGGCTGATCCAATGATATCGATAGCGAGGCCGGTACTATCGGGGTGTCGGTTGTGAGATCGATTGTGAAATCGATATAGGTGTGGCCAGTGAGTTTGATGGTGAGACCCATCGATAAGGATAACGACCAAGAACTTGGGAACCTGGAAGCCCGGGAACCCCGCCGCCCACCGAAATCGGTCCGGAATCATCACCTGGGAACCCGGGGCCCGGCATTTGGGAACCCAGCCAGCTACCGAAATTGGCCATGGATTTTCGCAAAATGTTTCAATATCCGGTAGGACCCTTTTCGGTGAAAAATTGATTGAGGAATGTTGTATACGCCCTCGTTCTTGCAACGTCGAGAAAGTACAGTTCCCCCATGCACCCGAAAGGTTTTGTGTCGAAGGCTAGCTATGATGCTTTCCCAATGGCGTATGGGGGCGGGTGCTTTCCCCTCCCCGAGGCCGGCCCCCCTCCACGGGGGGGAAAAGGGGGGGGAGGGAGGGGGAATGAGAATGGGAGGCGCCCCAGGTACCCCCCCCCCACTCCCAGGTGGACGGGGGAAAAACGATAACGGGAAGAAAACAATTCAAAAAGTAGCAAACAATCAGTTTCTGAGGTCGGCGCTGGACACTCTCCCGCATTTCTTCACCAGCGCGAGAATATCGCCAGGGGTGACGCCCAAGACGCCGCCACAACTGACGGAGGGGGGCCCACCGCCGGCCCAAGAAATCCGCGCTGACCTCCGAAAGTGTACGTTTGCGCGCCTGTTTGGATTTTAGGTTTGTCGGCAGCGGGGGAGGACTGAAGATTGCGCCCCTCACAGGCAGGCCCCGTCACCCACGTTGTCTCTATTGCGCACGGGGCGGCAGTATTCTGCGGGGTGGGTGGGAGAGTGCGACTGTGAGTCTGAGTGTGTGTGTGTGTGTGTGTGTGTGAGTGTGAGTGTGAATGCGAGTGCGAATGCGAGTATGAGTGTGAGCGTAAGTGTGGGAAGTGTGCGCGTGTGAGTGTGAGTGTGAGTGTGAGCGTGCGTGCGTGCGTCCGTGTGTGTCTGCGTCTGTGTCTTTGTCTGTGTCGGTGTCGGTGTCAGTGTTTGTGTCTGTGTCTGTGTCTGTGTCTGTGTCTGTGCCTGGCTGTGGGTGTGTGTGTCTGTGGGTGGGTGTGGGTGGGTGTGGGTGGGTGTGTGTGGGTGGGTGAGGGTGTGTGTGGTTGTGTGTGGGTGCGTGCGTGTGTGCGTGTGTGCGTGTGTGCGTGTGTGCGTGTGTACGTACGTGTGTGCGGGTGTGGGTGGGAGTGTGTGTGTGTGTGCGTGTGTCGGTGTGTGTGGTGTGTGTGGTGTGTGTGGTGTGTGTGGGTGGGTGGGTAGGCTGGTGGGTGGGTGTGGGTGAGTGGGTGAGGGTGTGTGTGGTCGTGTGTGGGTGCGTGCGTGTGTGCATGTGTGCGTGAGTGCGTGTGTACTTATGTGCGTTGTTACTTGTGTGTGGGTGTAGGTGGGTGTGTGTGTGTGCGTGTGTCGGTGTGTGTGGTGTGTGTGTGGTGTGTGTGTGTGTGTGTGTGGGTGGGTGGGTTGGTGTGTGTGTGTGTGGGAGTGTGTTTGTGGGGGTGTATTTGTGTATTTGGGTGTGTGTGTGTGTGCGTGTGTGCGTGCGTGTGTGTGTGTGTGTTTTTGTGCGTGTGTTTGTGTGTGTTTGTGTTCGTGTGCGTGTGGGCGTGTGTTCGTGTGAGCGTGTGTACCTTCGTGGGTGTGTGTGTGTGTGTGCACGTGCGCGTGTGTGTGCGTGTGTGTGGGCGTGTGTGTGTGTGTGATCGTGTGTATGCGTGCGTGTGTGTAAGAGGGTGTGCGTGTGCGTGCGCGTGTGTGTGCACGTGCGTGTGTGTGTGTGCGTGTGCGTGTGTGTGTGCGTGTGCGTGTGCGTGTGTGCGTGTGTGCGTGTGTGTGTGTGTGTGCGTGTGGTGTGTGTGTGGTGTCTGTGCGCGTGTGTGTGTGTGTGTGCGTGTGTGCGTGTGCGTGTGCGTGTGCGTGCGTGAACGTGTGCGTGTGCGTTTGCGTGTGTGCGTGTGTGAGTGTGTGTGTGTGTGTGCGTGTGTGCATGTGTGTGTGTTTGTGTGTGCGTGCGTGCGTGCGCGTGTGTGTGTGTGTGTGTGCGTGTGTGTGTGTGTGTGTGCGTGCGTGCACGTGTGTCTGTGTGTGCGTGTGCGCGTGTGCGTGTGCGTGTGCGTGTGTGTGTGTGTGCGTGTGTGTGTGTGCTTGTGTGTGCGCTTGTGTGTAAGCGCGTGTTTATGTGTGTGCGTGTGAGCGTGTGTGCGTGTTTTCGTGTGCGTGTGTGCGTATGTGTGTGTGCGTGTGCGTGTGTGTGCGTGTGTGTGTGTGTCAGTGTCTGTGCGCGTGTGCGTGTGTGTGCGTGCGCGTGTGCGCGTGTGTGCGTGTGTGCGTGTGCGTGTGCGTGTGTGTGTGTGTGTTTGTGTGTGTGCGTGTGCGTGTGCGTGTGCGTTTGCGTGTGTGCGTGTGTGTGTGTGTGCGTGTGTGTGTGTGTGTGTGTGTGCTTGTTTGTGTGTGCGTGTGTGTGTGTGTGTGTGTCCGTGCGTGTGTGTGTGTGTGTCCGTGCGTGCGTGTGTGTGTGTGTGTGTGTGTGTGCGGTTGTGTGTGTGTGTGCGTGTGTGCGCGTGTGTGCGCGTGTGTGTGTAGATCTGGTCGGGGAGCCCATGGGGCTTGAATGTGATGTCCATATCTTCCGCCCACTGGGGTCTTGGGAGATCGGCTCCACGGGCGGCAGACTTGCATAAGCCTCGGCCTCGCACGTGCCCAGACATCCGAAGTCGGGATTTTTCACAACGTGGCCCCCCAGAGGTTTGGACCCCTTTCCCGGGATCCGCACTTCAGCCTACGAATTGTTCCTTGGCAGTCGCGGGGCCAGGCGAGGGTCCCCAGTGGCCGAAAACTCGCCAAAGCCGTCCGTCGTGATCTCTTCACAGCGGCGGGGCTCCCGACCCCTTGCCCGGGGGAAGTTTTTCGCCCAGGATCCGTGTTCGATGGCCCTGGGGCCCGACAACGGGCCCCAAGAGGCCGCAATCGAGGCAAAACGCTGGGATCGAAAAAACACGTCGTTGGAGATCTGGGCGCCCGCGGGCCGCTCGGGCGCACGAGCCGCGCCAGGCCTGCCGCCAGGCCTGCCGCCTGCGGCAGGCCACAAGATGGCCATGGCCGGCGGCGGCGGAGCCGCGCGCCTGGAGGCCCACGCGACATTGAGGGGCAATTTCAGGGGGGATAGGCCCAGGAGGGTCAGAGGTAACGTTGGGGGTTTTCGGATGTGTTCGTCGCTTCTCGGCGGCATTCCAGCCTCGGGGTGCTCTCCAGAAGCTGCGCCTCGCCGAGGGCGTTCCAGGGTGCCCAGATCGTCCCGAAATGCCGCCGGGGAACCGAGTTCTGACCCGAAAGCCAAAGGGCAACGTCATGGCGGGACAGGCTCAGGGAAGGACGCGTGGACACCACATCGCCCACTTACCGCCGATGGAGGTCTGGTAGCCCGTCGCGCTCGGCAGCGTGCGGGTTCGCTACCAGGGGCCAATCGCCGATTTATGGGCGATGCATCGCCGATTCCAGCTCGATGTTCCCACCCTGAGCCGGTCTCCTGGTGGTTTTCGGGTCATAACTCGGGCCTCTGGCGGCCGTTCAGGACGATTCTGGCACCCCCCGAACGCCCTCGGCGATGCGCAACCGCTGGAGGGCACCCCGACGCTGGAAAACTGCCAAGAAGCGACGAAAACGTCAGAAACCTCGAACTTCGAGCCTCGAACGTTCTCCCCCTGAGCCGCCCCCCCCAGTAACGTTGCTCTATAACGGACCCCCCGCCAACGTCTCCTCTCAAGGGAGCATCGGTCGTCGTTCACGAGCCTCGAGGGGAGGACAGGAGGATAAGGAGGAAGACGGGAGCAGGACCCTGGCATCATCGCGCCGTGGATAAGTTCACCCCCTAACTCAAGTTTTCGGAGGTCCGCGCGGATATCTTGGATCGGCGCTGGACCTCCCTCCCTTGCGCACGAAGCGCGCCAGGGGCGGCGCCGGAGGCGCCCCCAGGGGACTCCAGCGCCGATCCAAACAATCTGCGCGGGCGCGGACCTCTGCAAGTTTATGGTTATACAATGTTTTGTTCCTCGATGACACTATCGCGTCGTGGAAATATCGGCGCTGGTATACACGCTGTCGAAAACCGACCTAATCCCGAATAGTTGGGTTCAAGATGGTTAAGTCCAGTTGAATGTGTCTTAATGTTGGACCTATCGGGTCTAACCCGATTTCATGGCCAGTTGGGCAATCGGGATTCATAGTTGCTCATCACTATCACGAAGACATCCCAGGAGCTTTTGCTTCCTAGCGGTACCCCTCAGGCGCGGTCCCGCCAGCTGGCGGCCCGCCGCGTGGGCGCGGCAGGCGTGCTGTTGGCGGCGCTGCTCGCGGGCGGGGGGCGCCTCTGGAGCCCGCAGAGCCCAGCCTTGGCGGCCGAGGTGGTCATCCGTCCTCCTGCTCCCCCTCTTCATCCTCATCATCCTCCTCTTTTCCTTCTCCTCCTCCTCCTCCTCCTCCTCCTCCTCCTCCTCCTCCTCCTCCTCCTCCTCCTCCTCCTCCTCCTCTAGCCGCCGCAGCGGCCCGAACCACCCTCCTTCGCGGCTCCTCCCACTTCAGAGGAAAGAGATCCCGTGACAGCGGCACGATGCGTCGCGCGCGGGGTCTGCCGAGCCCTTGAGAGAGGGTGGCGGGTGGCTCTGCAGGCGTCGGCTCCTCGCCTCGGGCGCCTGCAGCTGGTGCTCTTCTTGTCTGTTTGGGATATGACGAGCTCGCCAGTCTTCCGCCCCCAGCCGAGCGGACACACACGAATAAGGGCCTGTACGTACAACCCGATGCACCTCGTCGGCCCGATGAGATGCACCGACATATCCCAGGAATTTCACAACATCGGAGTTCGATTGCTACCTGGCACCTGCAGAAAGAAGGGCGAGGACGACCACCTGATCTTCCAGCACGAGAAGCACTGGGAGATTTCATTCGGCTGGGCGCGGGCCAGCAACAAATCGTGCGGGGTCTCGATCATGATGCACAAGCAGGCGTTTCCTCCTCGAGCCCTCCGACGTCTTTATTCACCGCCACCTGCGCTGGCAGGGCGTGCTGGAGCCGTCCGCCTGAGGACGGCGACGCTTGATGTACTGTTCCTGGTGCTATACTTTCCTTGTCAACCTCAAGGGCGAGGACAGGCAGCGGCATATCGGAAGACGGTTCAGGCCTTAATAGCCTGGGCGAGATCGACGATCGAGTCGGTCGGCGCCCGCTGCACCCCCGTGATAGGCTGCGACCTGAACGACGGCCTGGGGATCTCGCCTGAGACCACGCTGGACGAAGCGGCGCTCCATTACTGGGAGGACGACGAAGAGGACAGGGCGGTGGGCACCATATCACCTACAGCTGAAGGCTTGGCGGGCAGGCTCTGGCATCAAATGCTACAGGATCGCGACATGGCCGCGTGCAACACCTTCGTGGACGCGGGCGACACTTACTACGGCAACTACGGTAAGAGCTCTCGCATAGACTTCATTCACATTCCTCAAGGCTTGATGGCGCACATGACGAACTGCGGAGTCTTGGAGGCGGCAGGGCGGAGGCTTCAACCGATCCAGACCTTAGACGACCGCGACCACAGGCCCGTGTACGTGGAGTTCTCTTATTGCTTTCAAGCGCAGATGGGTGGTCAGCCAGGTTGGGACTTTGATCGTATCATGGCAGCAGCTCGCAGAGGGGAAGGATGCACAAACATGATTGAAGAAATGCATGCAGAACTTCTTCGCATCGCAGAGCCTGAATGGGTACGCCTTTGCACGGGACCGACGACGGATGAGCTTTGGAATTCTACGGCGACACTGTTGGTACATAAAGCCCGAGAGGTGTTCTGCAAGCCGGCGCCGACGGAGACTTTGAAATCGGAAATGGAAAAGCAGCGGTCGCAGTTATTGGTGAAGCGCAAGTCCCTGAAGGGCATGCACGTGGGCAGATACACGGAGACGTGGAAGGACTTCGAGCTCGAGCTGGCCAGGTTAACTTTCCGCATTCGCAAGACCATTCAGCAGATTGCAAAAGACAAGACGGAGGAGACCGTACGGGAGCTGAACGGGGCTTGGGCAGCACATGATCACAATGCGGTGCAGCGTCTCATTCGACGGTTAGCTCGACGTGGACGTGGACCTCGACAGCGGCGCTACTTCGCCACCAAGACAGAGAATTGCGAGGCGGAGCAAATCAGTATCTACTTGCAGAAGGCGGCCTCCGAGGGGGGCATGGGCGGGGCGCCTTGTGATCTCCAGGCAGAGCTCGCTGAACGTTTCGACCGATCACACTTTGACGACGAGGAGGACCAGAACTTCAGCTCCGATCAGGCGCGGTACGACACAATGCAATTCGTGAACCTCGAGCAGGCCCAGGAGGATCTACAGGGCATGCTCAATGTACTGCGCTCCTCACCGAAGAGACGGGCGTGCCCTCACTTGTCGATGCCATCGGAACTCTGGTTACTGTTGCTGGACGCTGAGGTCTGGGACTCCTTCAAGCGCGGGGGAGTTGGCGCTAGCATGCATCCCTCGACTGCGACGGCCTTCCTCGAACGCATGACGGACATCATAGCTTGCTTTCGGCGATCAAGACAGTCTCCTTTATTGTTCGACATTTCATCATGCATGGGATTGGACAAGCGGAACGGCAATGCGGGAGCAGCAGGCCAGAGATGTATTCATTTGTTCTGTCCCATGGGGAAAGCATGGCATTCCCACCTTTGGGGACGCGGCAGATCGGTGCGCAGCAGCTTGCCCTACCATTGCCATGGCTTTGCTTTGCGACGTAGGAGGGGGGACGCGATAGCAGTACAGGCCTGTGCTTCTTGGCGGCTGGAGCAAGAGGGCCTTTCTCGCGCCATTGTGAACGAGGATGCGACAGACGCCTTCGCGAGCACGGGCCGAAACACTATCCTCGAGGTCCTCCCCTCCCTCTATCAACCAGATGACGTCGTCTTTCAACATCGTCGTGCGGTCCAGGGAGCCCTGCAGATCGAATCGCCATCGGGGCCGATTACGCTGCGTCCGTCCACGGGGGAGATGATGGGACACCCGAACCCTGCCAGAGCGCTCCCGTACTTCTACGAGGTAGGTCTCGCTCGATATCATGATCACCGTTCGAGGACGACGTCGGGGCAATGCGCCGAAGCGATCGAGATCGACGGTGCGGCTAGCGACGTAGGCTTGACGATTTTCGCCGATGACATCACGAAGATAGTAATACCAGGATGGGGACCAGAACCGCGCGCCAACGGTAGCGAGGCGGCGCCCCTGGCGGCGCTGGCGGAGTCGAGCAGCTTTCACCTCCGTGAGGCCCCGTTGGAGATCGGCATTTCTCTGAACCCCGACAGGAGGGTCACGCTCGCTAGGATTTTCGGTCGTGGCTGCACTGGACAACGCCGTCTCTGGCATAGCGGAGTCTTGAAAACGTCGGGCATCCGAGGGCGTCACATTCGTGTTCTGGGAGGCTGGCCCACTACGACAGGGTCCTTGGCCGTGGAAAAATCGAAGCGTGTCCAGGCGGGGAAAAACGGTCTGGGGCTCATCCCGCGCTTCTTGGCCAGACCCGCTGCCCGAGCCATCGAGCGGATGGCGATCATCGCCTTCGCCCAGGCGGCCCTTCTCTCTGGCATGGAGGCACGTGTTCCTGATGCCTCATTCTGCGAGCAGGCCGACAGGGTGTTGCTACTAGCGATGCGTAGGGGACTGGGCCTGCAGGGAACCACTGAGGGCGAAGACGGGGCAATCCGACGCTGGCCATCAAAAAATGTCTGGGAGTATTGGAAGATCCTGCCGACCTCCGCCGAGCTCCGGGTGCGTCGTCTGGGTTGGCTTCAGAACTGGGCCCGTATTCCCGAGGCCCATCGTCAGGTTCGAGCGTGCATCTTGGGGACCATGGGAAGCTTCGACACAATCGACCCCGACTGGAACCTCAACCCGAAAGCCAACCCCTGGGCCCAGCAGATTCTGGAGGACCTGAGTTTCGTCCACGAGCATTGCGAGGACTTCTACATGCTAGTCCCCTCGGGTTACCCCTTGCTGAAGTTGCTTTACATCGACGAGTTTAGGGACTGGGCCTACCTGGACTTCACGGTCCTACGCGCGGCGGCCTACTCAAAACAGTTTGCCCCTCCTGAACACCACCCCGAGGCCCCAGAGGTCCCCGAGGCTGAGGAGGAGACGGCCCCCGAGGGCCAGTTCGTCTGCAACATGGTGCTCACCACGGGCGCCAAGTGCAACGAAAAGTTCAGCACCATGAAGGCGCTCCTCCTTCATGCGGGCCGTGCCCACCGCGTTCGAAATGAAGCTGCCCTCCTGACAGTGACTAACCAATGTTTCAGATGTTTACAGGTCCTTAGCACGAAAGAGAACGCGGAGAGGCACGTCATGAGGTCGTTCAAACGAAACGTCTGTTGTCGCGGGAGGAGCTCTTTCTTGGCGCAAGACGCACAGATCCCCAGCGAACTGCAGTGTCCAGTATGTAGTCATTGGGCTCTAAGTCTTTACGGCCTTCAAGTACACATTCGAACTCATTGCTCACTACCTCAGCCTGGAGTTAGACACCGTCGACAGCAAGATGGCTCGAGGCTCGGAGGAGAACGTGGACCTGATGGATCTCGGTGCGCTGATCGAACCCGGCAAAGGGAAGGAATCCCCTGGCGGCGAAGAAGGGGGAGCAATGGCCAAGGGGCGCAAGCTGGCAGAGGCAGCGGACGACGCAGAGGACACACTGAACCAGGTCGAAAATGCTCTCCGAGGAAAAGACGTTGCAGCGGCGCTCTCCCTCCTCCTAAAAGGTTTCTGCATGCACTCACAGCTGCTACGCGACGCGGCAGCAGTGGTTTGGGCAAGCGTGATCCCCCCGACGCTCTCGCCGATTATCGTGGCTTCCAGGGCCGCTGGAAAGCTCTACGCCGAGGCGGCTGGGCTACCCACGGTGAAGGACAAGCTTGGACCACCTCATTTACACATAGCGCGCGCAGGGTTCAAGTGTCTAGTGGAAGCCGAACCGAGCACCAAGATCGGGGGGGAAGCGCTGGAAGTGGCACAGTTTTTCTACAGCAAGTTCGCACAGAAAGGACAGATGCAGGAGCTCGGATTGTCGATCCGACACTTCCGCTGCAAGAAGTGCTACAACGAGGACATGACACGCCGTCAGTTCGCCATAGTGGACGGGATCAACCTGCAAAGCGACAGCGGCAACCCCACAACCTACTCAAAGCTGATGATCGAGAACGCGACGGTGGTGCTGCTCAGGGGCATGGGCGGAACACTCAAGCAGGGGACGGCGCCGCAGGGTCATCTCGAGAACCTCGCACAGAAGATGCTGGACAAGCACAAGCTGGGCGGCAAGGGCAGAGGCAAGAAGTCGACGGCGTGACCTCAGAGACGCGGGAGATGCGACTGGCGGC